AGATGTTGTCTCACAGTCCATGGAAGGTATTTTTAGAATGATGTATTTTTGTATGCAGAAGTGTGTGTCTGTTATCTTGAAAACACAAATTTGTTGTTATCTTATGTCTGCAATCTGGTACCAGGTAAAATACTGGAAAATATTAAAAATTAATGCTTTCCTTGCATGCTGTGCCTTTATTTCAATGGAAAGTTGATCATTATTAAGGATATGAATAATGAATTATTCTAATTCTGCTTCTGAGTGATTCAAAATATCCCACAAGTCAATGCAGACTTAGTCTTACAATGTAACTGCATCACATAATAAATTAGTCAGTGAAAATGACAAAGGAGGCCCAAAAAACAAAAACATTCCCCAAAATCTTGAGAAAATCTCATCAAGACCTTTCAAAAGAAAACATTGTGCCTTCCTCAGGTTGATTATGAAATATAAGGTGATGAATTGGCACAGTACTGGAATATTTGAAGCTAGGAGTATTGTTGTGGACCAGACCAAACTCCCTCAAAATATGTTAAGACCTTTTCTTATTTTAAAGGTAAGTGTTAGACGTGGCATTTCAGATCAAATTCAATTGGTCAAACTCCTTTGACTTTAAGCAAAACACATTTTATTTTTCCAGTTAAAATACAGACAAAGTAACAATAAAAGAAAAGAACTGGCTTAACTGTAACTCTATCAAGATGCTTAACAAAATAATATAGATATAAACTGCTTCTAATTAACTGGTCCAGTATAGTACCATCCATAAAAAGATTTTTGGTAAAAACAAATTCAGAAAAATAGTTTGTCTCACATGCATTTCTAGCAGCACGAAGAGAACCCCAGCTTTCAGCTGTAACAGAGAGAGGAATAAGAGCTTCCACATCCAGCTTCAAGATTCCAGCAACTGCTGAAAGCTGCAACTAAAAATCTTAGTTTTGTGGGAGTTTGACCCCACCCAGTCAGGCTGCTTCCATTGTTCCAACTTTAAAAAACCCCGAAACCTCACAAGCTGTTTACTTTATTGGCTTGGAGCAAATCGCTCCGTTCATCTGTCTCAACCTTTCTCCATAAAAGGACAAAATACATTTCTTAAAGCCATAGTGCTATCACTGTATTTATTTTTTAAAAAGTTTGTGAATGCATTATGGAGTCTGTAATGGAATGGACATTTTCATATCAATGTTCCAAATGCATCAAATAAGGACCCTTGGGATTTCCAAAAGTAAAGATCAAATATGTAAAATAAGGAAAACAATTGAGCCATTACTTATATCATGACTGAAAGTTTCTGGAAAGAGCAGAACCTTGAAAGAGACACCTGTCCAATGGAATATGATGTGTTCGCAGGAGAACTGAGCATGAGGAACAGGAAAAATGGAGTCAGTAACTCAAAAATGTAACCAGAGTCTGGTTAACACCGTTTCTTGCATAGAGATAATGATATAAAGTATTTTAGGACAGGGTTAAGCAGGTGCAATTTATAAACTAGAACATTTTTGAGAATACAAATCAATCAGCTTTATAAGCTTAAAATATCTCCACATGTAAGTATTTTGGATGCCATGTTATTGTGCTCACTGGATATCAACTTTCATTCCATTGTGAATGTTGCCATAATCCTGTTATGCACCTATCATATTGTAGCTATTTTTCTTTTTTGCAAACATGGGACTTGAAATGAATTGTTAATTCCAAACTAGGGCAAAATATTGATGCATTTTTAAATTGTTACAGATTTTTTTTTTGCCAGCTGTAGGGTTATAATACTTGGAACTTGATGAGACAAACAACTGAGGAGATGCTTTGCGAAAGCACATTTTTACTGATTATTTCACTCCTCCTCACTGGTGATTAAGTTACTGTTAAAGGCAATAACAGTTACTTCTGAAAAACATGAAAAGCATGCAACAAAGTAATTTTTTTGGCTTACTTAAATGCTTTAAAATGTTTTCCTACATATTGAAATACAACTGATTTTAAATATATGTTTATACATATGGAAAATGAAAATAATTTTTGCCAATTGTACAAAATGAGCTCATAGCAAATTAACAATTGTTTTACATCCAGGTTAATTTTCATCCATTGAAAAAAGATTCGGTACAGTGTAACCAAGCTGATGATTCACCATAAGTCCATTTTGTGTAAGTGGTGTGCAATCTTGGAATGGCACTCAGTGTGATAGGTTGAGGTGATGAGGCTATCTTGATTAACTGATGCCAAAATGTAAAAGCTATGGGTGAGGTTAATGGCAATGATTGACTTCATTCCCTTAGTCTTACATGTCAGCTCATACAGTCATACAGATCTAAAGCACAGAAAAAAAGCCATTCAGCTCACCACATCCATATTGGTCAAGGGAAAACACTTACCTATTCTAATCCTATTTTCCAGCACTTGGCCATAGCCTTGTATACCTTGGTATTGAAAGTGCATATCTAAACACTTCTTAAATGCTGTGAGAGGTTCTGCCTCTACCGCTTTTACAGACAGTGAGTTTCAGATTCCCACCACCTTCTGGTTGAAAACGTTTTTTCTCACATCCCCTCTAGAGAAGGACCAGAGAGACCAAGTGGGCACTGTATGTTTTAACACTCGTAAAGGAGAAAGTGCAGCGTATGAAGTAATGGGGCATTGCCAAGGTCATTTTCCCCATATACTTCCTGCCACAAGTATACGTGTCCTTTTTCAAGAACAGTGGTAGACCAGGCACTCTCACACCAGTGGTAGGGAAATTATTGGAGAATATTCTGAAGGAGAGAATTAAACTCCACTTGGAGAGGCAAGATTTTGATCAGGGATAGTCAGTATGACTTTGTCAGAGGGATGTCATGCCGAACAAATTTATTTGAGTTTTTCAAGGAGGTGACTAGATGTGTAGATGACGGTAATGCAGTTGATGTAGTTTATATTCTTTTCAGTAAGGCCCTTTCACAAAGTCCCAGATAAGAGACTGGTAAAGAAAGTTAAAGCACAAGGGATCCAAGGTAACATTACAAGTTAAATCCAAAATTAGCTTAGTCGTAGGAGAGAGAGGATGACTCCTTGGGACACTGGAAAACAGTGTTCAGTGGTGTTCCAGACTGATCACTGCTGATCAATTAATATCAGCCCATATTGTTTGCGATGTATGTAAATGATATTAAGGAATATGACGAGGGGATGATTAGTTTTAGATGACTCAAAAATTGGCCGGGAGATTGACAATGATGAAGAAGACTACAAGAGGATATAAACGGATTAGTTAGCTGGACAGATAAGTGGCAAATGGAATTTAACTCTCATAAGCGTGATGTGATATACTTTGGAAGAAGTTTCAAGACAAGGGACTACTCAATGAATGGCAAGATACTAGGAAGCTCAGAAGAACAGAAGGATCTTGGGTGCTTGTTAACAGATCCCTGAAGGCAGCAGGATAGGGTAGTTAAGAAGAATACAGAACACTCTCCATTATCAGTCGTAGCACAGATTTTAAGGGCAGGGAAGTTATGTTGGATCTGTACAGGATTTTAGTTTGGCCACAGCTGGAGTACTGTATGTAGTTCTGGTCACTACACTATAGGAAGGATGTGATTGCACTGGAGAAGCTGCAGAGGAGATTCACGAGGATGTTGTCTAAGATGGAGCAGTTTAGCTATGAAGAGAGGCTGGATAAGCTTGGATTGTTTTCTTTCAAGCAGAGGAGGCTAAGAGGGGATCTGATTGAGCTGTATAAGATTATGAGGGATAGGGATATGGTGAATAGAAAGCAGCTGTTCTCCTTAGTTGAAGGGTCAATAACTAAAGGGAATAATTGAAAGGTGAAAGGCAGGTGGTTTTGACAGGATGTGAGGAATCTGGAATGCACTATCTGGGAGAGTTGTTGAGATGGGAAACCTCATAACCTTTAAAAAGTACTCGGATGAACTGTTGAGATGTCATAACATTAAGGATCTGTGCCAAGAGCTGGGAAGTGGGGTTAGTATAGATTTAAAATTATTTTGTCAGTGCAGACTGAATGGACCAAATGGTTCTTCTGTCCTGTTAATTATTTATTCTATTCTATAACCTCGGACTGTAAGTCTCAAACCATATGTGGTTGGGTAGTTCTTCAAGCACAGGCACTATGCAGGCCAATCTAACACCAAAACCCTTTTAATCAAAATCCTTCAAGAGTCATCTGTCATTTTCCACCTTATAAATACTCTTCACAAAGTTCTAGTATGCCACCTGTTTTACAGTTTCAAGTAAGTAACAATGCAATTCAGAAAGTTATTTAGATGTTATCCAACAACAGACCACATGAGAAACAGGAGTAGTAACTTTCCAGGAGAATATACAAAATAAAGTTGCCAAGATAGCATCTTCCAAACCCATGACCACAACCATTTAGAAGGACAAAGGCAGCAGATAAATAGGAACACCACTATCTCCAAATTCCCGTCCAAGCCACTCACCAGCCTGAATTGGAAATAAGGCTTTGTTCCTTCAGTGTCATTGGGTCGATATCCTGGAATTCTCTCCCTTATGGGTCTAAGTGCGGCACATAGACTGCAGCAGTTCAAGAAGACAGTTTACCAGTACCTTCTCAAGGGCAACTAGGGCCAGGCAATAAATGCTGGCCCAGCCAGAAACACTCCCCCATGTTCCAAGAATGAATGAAACAAAGAAATAATCTGAGATTGTCTGGACTTCTCTCTTGTTTGAGTACAAACATATACCATTGAAAAGGCCAGATTATGAATTCCATTCAATAACCAATGATTTCTTAAGTTTGATTCAGAATCTCCTTAATGTCAGTAGAGAGCTGGCATTCCCACTGACTCTCTCACAGAATTAAAGTTTAACCAGTCCCTGAAACGTAGGGAGATTGGCACTGAGATCCATCCTTTTGGGGCAGAAAACAACATCATAGTGATCAACATAAGTTGGCTGACCTTTAGGCACACTCTAGCACTTGGCTAATGATTTATAGCATTCTATGATACATATGTTCATTCAATTAAAAAAGAAAGTAGCAATCATTGCTCAATCACCTTTCCACTTCAGCATTCAGTGTGGATGCTGGTTCCTCAGATTTCAAAAACTTGGGTATTTCCAGCTGGAATGGCTGTGCACTTGATCTGCTGTGCTCAGCAACTGCTCCTGATTATCTCAAATTTATAGAAAGCTGATCTCATGCAGCAACATGACTCAGCTGATCATTGAACATGCATATTCTGAATAATTGCAGTGCACTCAGCTGTGCCTTAAGACAATTTTTAACATCCACGGCAAACTTTAGAAGGTCAAAGCTTGTTGTGGTTCATTCCATTCCTTAGATAGACATTATTACTATTCTGAGAACAAGCTGACCTATGTCATTGACCTTCAGGTCCTCCCTGATGAACCATCTGCTGAGGTACCTGCATCCACACCTGATTCCACTTTCTTTCATGCTCAAATAGAAAATTGCCTCACATAGTTCCCTGTAATCAATAGAAGCCTTGTGCTTCTTGTCTGGATACCGCCTCAGCTGCTTTCTATGTGACTATGCAGTGTTACTGAATGAGCAAGACATGAAACAGTGCATCCTGCATGCACCATTTGGCTTTGAATCAACACTACAGCAAGGCCACGTGTCCCAATCAGCTGGTGTAATGCCAAGCTTTCAAATTTGGGCAATTCATGGCCGGGCAGCTTCTTCATCATTTATTCTGCAAACAAGAAGCATGAAGTTGCAACATGAGACCTGTGCTAGTGTAGGTGGTGATGTTGTGATAATGTCACTGGTCTAGATTTCTAGAACCCCAAGGTAGTATTCTAGGGTCATGGGTTCAAAAGGCCACCATTGCAGATAGTGAAATTTGAATGCAATAAAAGAATCTGAAATAGAAAGCTGTCCTATCAGTGAGCATGTAATCTACTGTTGGTTGCCTTAAAAACCTGCTTGGTTTAGTCATGCCCTTTAGGCAAGGAAATTTGCTAAACTTACTTCGTCTGACCTACAAGTGACTCCAGACGGCTACCACAGCAATATGTTTAACTTTTAACTGTCCTGTGAGCAATTACAGATGTGCATTAAAATCTAGTCTATGTAATAATGCCCACAACCTTGAACAACTAACAAAAACACACCATACCAGCAGATAAGGTGGCCTTTCGCATGTTGTTTATTGAAAAGTGTCTGGAGGTACTCTGAGCTCTTTTCTGGACGTGTTGCAGAGGATGTCTTAATTTGACAGAAAGTATTGTTGCATCCACAAAGATGGAGCAGAAGAGTGGTTGACCTGTCCACACAAAGGCCACAAAGGGTTAGTGAGCAGTGGTGCCAATGCTTCTGGGTGGGTAGAGCAATAGAGAGAGGGAGCAGAGCCCACAGAGATGCCAAGTTCTGCTTGATTATATCAGACATGTTGGAGCAGGACTCCTCCTTGCTCCTTGACAGTGATAGGAGGGTGTCTGGCAAGGCACCTGATACATTCAATATCTCAAATAAAAGCAAAACACTGCAGATGTTAGAAATCTGTAACAAAACACATTCAATGCTGGAGAAACTTAGCAGGTCTGTTGAAAATTAGGAAAAAAGTTAAAGGGAAGGAGAACTCAAGAGCTGTTAGTAATGGAGGTAATAGGACCCAAAAAGAAGGTGCAAAAACTGGCATAAGGGCACTTTATCTGAATGCTCGGAGCATTCGATGGCAAATGGGTATGATTTAGTGGCCATTACAGAGACATGGTTACAGGATGGTCATGACTGGGAGTTAAATATCCAGGGGTATCAAACTATTCGGAAGGACAGACAGGAAGGTAAGGGAGGTGATATTACTCTGATTTTTAAGGATGATATCAGGGCGGTAGTGACAGATGATATAGGTTCTACTGAACAAAACGTTGAATCCATTTGGGTGGAAATTAGGAATAGCAGGGAGAAGAAGTCACTGATAGGTGTGGTCTATAGGCTACCAAATAATGACATCGTGGTGGGGCGGGCAATAAACATAGAAATAGCTAATGCATGTAAAAATGGTACAGCAGTTATCATGGGGGATTCTAATGTACATATCGATTGGTCAAACCAGGTCAGTCATGGCAGCCTTGAGGAGGGGTTCATAGAATGCATCCGCGATAATTTCCTTGAACAATATGTAATGGAACCTATGAGGGAGCAAGCTATCCTAGATCTAGTCCTGTGTAATGAGACAGGAATAATTAATGATCTCACAGTTAGGGATCCTCTCGGAAGGAGCGATCGCAGTACTGTCGAAGTTAAAATACAGATGGAGCATGAGAAAGTTAAATCCAGTACCTATGTCCTGTGCTTAAACAAAGGAGACTATGAAGGAATGAGGAAGGAGTTAGCTAAGGTAGAATGGGAGCAAAAACTTTATGGTGGGTCAATTGAGGAACAGTGGAGGACTTTCAAAACAATTTTTCACAGTGCTCAGCAGAAGTATATTCCAGTGATAAGGAAGAACTGTAGGAAAAGAGAGAGCCAGCCATTGATGTCTAAGGAAATAAAGGAAAGTATTAGATTGAAAAAAAAACACATACAAAAAAGCAAAGAGTAGTGGGAAACTAGTAGACTGGGAAATCTTTAAAGGCCAACAGAAAGGCACAAAAAAAGTTATAAAGAAAAGTAAGATAGATTATGAGAGTAAACTAGCTCAGAATATAAAAACAGGCAGCAAAAGTTTCTATAAATATATAAATCGTAAAAGAGTGGCGAAGGTAAACATTGGTCCTTTAGAGGATGAGAAGGCCAATTTAATAACTGGGAATGAGGAAATAGCCTAGACATTAAACAGTTATTTTGTGTCGGTCTTCACAGTGGAAGACACATATAACATGCCGAAAACTAATGGCAAGAATGTTATAGCAGGTGAGGACCTAGAAGCTATCATTATCACTAAAAAGGCAGTGCTGGGCAAGCTAATGAGGCTAAAGGTAGACAAGTCTCCTGGCCCTGATGAAATGCATCCCAGGGTACTAAAAGAGGTGATGGGGGAAATAGCAAATGCACTAGTAATTATTTACCAAAATTCACTGGACTCTGGGGTGGTTCCTGCAGATTGGAAAACAGCCAATGTGATGCCACTGTTTAAAAAAGGAAGTAGACAAAAAGCAGGTAACTATAGGCCAGTTAGCTTAACTTCGGTAGTGGGGAAAATGCTTGAATCTATCATTAAGGAAGAAATAGCAAGACATCCGGATATAAATTGTCTCATTGGGAACACCCAGCATGGGTTCATGAAGGGTAGGTCATGTTTAACTAATTTTGTGGAATTCTTTGAGGACATTACTTGCATGGTGGACAATGGGAAATCTGTGGATGTGGTGTATCTGGATTTCCAGAAGGCATTTGACAAGGTGCCATACCAAAGGTTGCTACGTAAGATAAAGTTGCACAGTATTACAGGTAATGTATTGTCATGGATAGAGGATTGGTTGACCAGTAGAAAGCAAAGAGTAGGGGTAAATGGGTGTTTTTCTGGTTGGTGGTCAGTGGCTAGTGGTGTGCCTCAGGGATCAGTGTTGGCACCGCAATTGTTTACAATTTACATAGATGATTTGGAGTTGGGGACTAAGTGTGGTGTGTCAAAATTTGCAGATGACACTAAGGTGAGTGGTAGAGCAAAGTGTGCAGAAGACACTGAAAGTCTGCAGAGGGATATAGATAGTCTAAAGTCAGTGGGCAAAGGTCTGGCAGATGGAGTACAATGTTGATAAGTGTGAGGTCATCCATTTTGGTAGGAATAACAGCAAAATGGACTATGTTTTAAATGGTAAAAAATTGCAGCACGCTGCTGTGCAGAGGGACTTGGGTGTCCTTGTGCATGAATCGCTGAAGGTGGGATTGCAGGTGCAGCAGGTAATTAAAAAGGCAAATGGAATTTTGTCTGCCATTGCTCGAGGGATGGAGTTTAAAAACACGGAGGCTAAACTGCAACTGTATAGGGTCCTGGTGAGGCCACACCTGGAGTACTGTGTGCAGTTTTGGTCTCCTTACTTGAGAAGAGATATACTAGCACTGGAGGGGGTGAACAGGAGATTCACTCGGTTGATTCCAGAGTTGGGAGGGTTGGATTATGAGGAGAGACTGAGTAGGCTGGGATTATACTCATTGGAATTCAGAAGAATGAGGGGAGATCTTATAGAAACATATAAGATTATGAAGGGAATAGATAAGGTGGAGGCAGGGGGGTTGTTTTCGCTAGCTGGTAAAACTAGGACTAGAGGGCATCGCCTCAAAATAAAGGGAAGCAGATGAGGTCTGGAGGAACTTCTTCACCCAAAGGGTTGTGAATCTGTGGAATTCCCTGCCCAGTGAAGCAGTTGAAGCTACCTCGCTGAATGTTTTTAAGGGAAGGCTGGATAAATTTTTGAACAGTAAAGGAATTAAGGGTTATGGTGAGTGGGCGGCTAAGTGGAGCTGAGCCTCAATAAGATCAGCCATGATCTTATTAACTGGCGGGGCAGGCTCGAGGGGCCGGATGGCCTACTCCTGCTCCTAGTTCTTATGTTCTTATGTTCTTATGTTCCTATGTCTGGCAGCATCTGTGGAGAGACAAACGTCTCGAGTCCAGGATGACTCATCTTCAATTTTGACTACGAACTCAGGTTAAAAGAAAACATTCACCAGGTTTCTGTGCTTAGCAAGAAATAACTGTCTATGGGACTTTTTTCATTAGAGTGTAGGAGTCCTTAGCATGTGTCCTTATAGAGGGTTATAAAATTATGAGGGGTATAGATAAGGTGAATGGCAGGTGTGTTTTCCCTAGGATGGGGGATTTCAAGAAAAGGGGGCATATTTTAATGCTGAGAGGAGGAAGATTTAAAAAAGGATATGAGAGGCAACATTTTTACACAATCTTGCTTCAAACTTAGAATCCCTACAGTGTGGAAAAAGGCCACTCAGCCCAGCGAGTCAGCACCAGCCTACAAAGAGCATCCCACCCAGACCTCCACAATCACCTATCCTGCTTTTCCTTCCACCCATAATACCAATTTATTTGTCTGTGTGTTTGCATATGTGTTTAGGGGATTGGAGGGAAGTTGTTAGCTCAGTTGTTTGGATTGCTGGTTTGCTATGCAGAGTGAGATCAGCAGCACGGGTTCAATTTCTGCACCAGCTGAACTCGCCATGA